ATAAAGGGGACATGGAGGGAATAGAGGAACAGAGAAGCTGGGGGACACAGAGGGGATGCAGGGAGGGCACAAGGTCATGGCAGGAGTATGTTCCTTTCCATGAAAGGAACATGGGGCTGGACAGGGAGACACAGGTTGGCTAGGAAGGGGACATAGAGGGGGACAGAAAGRAGACTCTGTCACAGCTCCAGTGCTGTCCACACCGAGGTCTTGACAGACACCCCACCCCATCTACGGTCAGTTCTTCGTGAAGTCTTTCCCACAGGAAAGTGGCCGTTTGCGCCTCTGTGACAGAATAATTAACCTAATTATCAAAGCTCCTTAAGGAGCTGCAGGTCAGCAAGGTGAGAGTCTTCACCCCTTCCCCTGGCAGGAGCATTTCCACTGCCCCCAGCAGTGGCTCTGCTGCTCACTTGGCTCCATTCCTTCTCCCTGGAAGCAGSCTGGGATGAAGTTCTGGGGCATCAGAACTGGTGGTCATCAGGTGATCCTGACCCCTCCCCTGACATGGCCAGACAGAGGGGACAGCCTCCTTTTGTACCCCAGCCCATGAGACCCCTCCAACCCTGCTTACCCACCTTTTCCCCCAAAATGGTATAAACTTCAGAAGCCACAGCTCAGAGAATGGGATCTAAGCTCAGCTGGAAAGGAGGAATGACATGAAAGTGCCCTGGTTTGAGCTGGAATAAAACAGAGAGAAGGTGATGGCCTTGAGGTCAGGCTGCCAGGGAGGAAGAAAGGAGAGAACAATCACTTGTGCTGGGACCTCATTTTATTGCAAGGAAAATACAAAAGTTGGACAGCAGCATTCAAGGGACCACAGCACCCCTTGCTCCTGGGAAACAAGGAAGGACATTCCGTGGAGGTTTCCCAACCCAGTTTTCAGTTGATCTCACATTCCAGACAGAGTTCTTCCACAGAAGGGTAAAACATCTCTCTCACACTGCACCAGAGAGGGACGAGGGGCTCAGCAGATTTGGGTTCCAGACCCTTCCAGCCAGCCCTGCTCCTCCATCCTCACCTGTGTCAGGTGTTTTCTCTCCCCAATGCTCTGTTACACCTGAGCTGCAGAACCTGCTGCTCTCCCCACTTTRGGGCTCTCTTTAGCTGTAACAGCTTCTGTATTTCTGTGACCTTGGTACAAAGAGGGATGACTTGGATCTAACTCTGATGCAATAAACTATTCAAAYTCCGAAAAAGTGGCTCCACACTGGYTTTGCATGRCAGACAAGCCAGTCAGACRTTATAGATGTTCCAAMTGYCAGCAAAGCCCTAAAACTGACTCCCTACATTCACAAACTTCAACAGGACAGGGAGAAAAGCCAACATATGACCATCAGGTGGGATGGGGTAGCCTCATCCTGCTGTGTGACCGTGATTCAGCCTTCAGAAGAGATAACAAGCACGTGCTGATAATCCTCCACTGCAACTCTTCACTTGCAGGAGATGCTTCTGACCTTCGAGGTACAAATGCCCGAGAGCAAGGACGTGACACAGCTCAAAAGAAGTGGGTGGCAGCTCTGGAAACGAAGYACCAGAATCATGGGTGCAGCTGATTCTCCAAGTGTCTGTCCCAAGTTCTAATGCCATAGAAGGTCTGGAGATTTTATTTCAGTTTGGGCCATTTCCCCAAAGAACATTATATTCCACTTCAGCCCACAGAAGTGATTCCATCATCCTGTTTCTGAATCAAACAAAATTGCCAAGGTACCCCCAGGACTGGTTTTTCCACATGATCAGAGTTCTAGGGCTGTTAAAAAACASCAAGGGCTCAACTCTTCACCTCCACCTGGAGCTTCAGGCGGACATCACACAGGAAAGCGTTCATCAGGTCCCTGCCAGCCTCCTGAGCAATCCTGCTGATGACCTTTCCTCCTCTTCCRATCAACATCCTCTGCATTAAAACACAGAGAACATCATCAAACTCATCCTTATGCTGCCCAGGACAGTGCAGCCACAGAAGCAATGAGAGAAATTCCAAAATCAAACCATGAGGCAACTTTAGGAAGGTGTACATTGCTACTGAACACGCTTCACGGGGTACACTGCTCTTCCCAAAAGAGAGGGAGAGGGGATCACAGCAAGGATGCACATGTGTTGGGTTTGGGGAACCTCCCTTTTCCCTCTCCAGCATCCCCTCCTTCTCCCCTCACTCACCTTATGAGACTCCCTCGGGACYAAGAGGCTCTGCACAATGATGAGCTCCCCACATTCTCCTTCCTCCCAAACATCCGTCACCTGCGACAGCAAGAGACTGCTCAGCAATCCTGGAAAATCCTCAGGAACCCCAAATATCACTCCCTTTGAGACACCAGCACAAAAGGGTGACCCCTTCCCACACACAAAGCATCTTACAGCACACTGAGTGGGGTGCCTGGCAGATCTCACCGAGCCAAACAAAAGGATTCTCACCACATCGYCTGAAATTCCCAATAAAACAGCTCATGCTTCCCACCTGAGTCACTCCATAAGGCACCTCCAGGGGCAGGTACTCCAGGACCTTCTCCCTGATGATATTGTCACAGATCTCTTGAGGTGACTGGCTGGTCAGGACGTCGCTGTGGAATTCCCAAGGGCCTGGCTTGGCTTGCATCAGGAGGAATCTCTGTGGGCACAGCACACCCCCCATCAGCTGCCACTGCTGCTGGACTGGCATCAGGGCAGTGGTCTGGTATTTTGGGCAGGGAAAGGAGAAAGGGAAGCTCTGAAACCCCTCTTTAGGGATAAAAGCCCACAGCACCTCTGGAGCTTAATGGTAACAGTGGGTGGATTCACTGTTCTGAACAAGCTGCTGCTTGGAGCGCGCCAGGAAGGAGTTTTGTAGAGAAAACTTGGGACAGGCAGCAGGGAGAGACCCCACATTGACACATGACCCTTTTTCCCCATCCCAGGCCAGGAACAGCAGCTCTGCTACCTCCTCACGAGAGCTGAGGCTCTGCATAAAGCACTGGGGTCCCACATCGGTCCTGAGGTGTGACAYAAATTCAGCCTGGAGTTACCTTGAGTGTATCCACCTCCTCCCCATGGAGAGCTGCCAGCATGAAGATCTCCTGGAAGTGTGGCCAGCCTTTCATATCTTTTAGATCCTCGGGTCCATAGTGCTTTAGCCCTTGGGCTTCCTCTGTGCTAGAAACCCCAAAATCACAGCTCTTGTCCAAACCAGRGCCCTCCTGGGCCTGATTCTTTTCCTGCCCACAGGGAGACCCYGAGGCCTTGCTTTCAGGTGAAGAAGCCCGAGTGATTTGAAGAGGAGACTTTACTGAAGAACGGGAATCCGGTTTAACTGCAGATTTCACCTCCAATTTCTTTCCATTTACAATTCCCTCTGTAAGATCAGTTACTATTTCCAGCAGCAGAAACTTCTTCTTYAGTATATCCACCTGAAGTCAGACAGAGAGGTGTCGGGATTTGTCCTAAATGAGGACAAAYCCTCTTTCCAGGTGGATTTAAATCCCAAACAGCAGCACAGCTTCGGGGGTACTCATGCATGCAACACACACCCCCCTCAATACTCTGGTGCAGAGGGGAAAACCTGTCTCCTTTAACACAMCAGGAACCCAAAAAACTCATCACTGCTGATGCCAGGTGGTGCCTGAAGAAGGCAGGAAGAGCGAGCAGGGTTTACCTTGTTCAGAACCAGGACACTGGGGATGTGGGGGAACTGAGACAGGCACTTCAGCACCTCCTTGCTCAGAGAGTTCCTTGTCCAGTGATCCGACACATCCACCAAAACCAGGACTGCCAGGAAACAGGGAGGGAAATAGGATGAATTTTCCATTATTTTCTGCACTTTCCAGAATGTTCATTTGCAGCTTTAGAGTCTATGGTCACTCCCCTCCTCAGAAAGGGACAAAAAGAATTTTATTTGGCAAAACACAAAAATGCAGCTTACACCTGTCACCCCAGTAACACCCCACATGCTAAACCTTAGCATCCAAGCCCAATTATTAACCCAAATTGCCTCCCCTTGATACCAGGCAGTTTTAATTCCCTCCTCAGCTCCCAGATATCCCAGATCTTTTCTCTGCCTTCCYTTCCTTGTTCACACTCCCTAGACTGCCAGCAAACACCCAGATCCACAGCTGTGAACTTGTGTGGCAGAAAAGGATTTGGTTTGATCCAAAAAGAGTTGGAAACTCACCTAAATCTGCATGTTTCATGCTGTCCCATGGGTCTGTCAGCATGGYTTCATCTAAATTATGCCTGAAAAATACATGAATGTGAGTAAACCAGACACACTTCATTGCAATCATGTTCCTTCCCCTCAAAGAAGAGGAAAACCACTGTTTTYCCTCATTCCAGCTGCCACAAAGCTGCCTCAGGGGCTGTGACATCCCTTGTCATGTGCAGATACACAGAACCAAACACAACAGGGCTCAAGGGAAGTCCCAGGCTCTGTGTGCTACTGAAATTGCAATARTAAAAGATTTAGAAACCAAAATAAAGCTAAAAATACTCATTTCTCTCACTCCTATTTTATAAACTTTGCACAGTGAAAATTACACTCCTGTTTTATCAACCCCTGCTGGGCAGGACCCTCCCCCTTTCCCACACCAGTGGTGATACCTTTTRGCTTTTAAGGGATTAGTGAGGCCAGGCGTGTCCAGAATGATCTAGGAAAAGGAAACACAAATGTTTTAAGTTTGCCAGCAGTCAGGATAAAATGTTTGGGCAACGAGAAGTGATCCCACAGGATATAGATGTTTGGGCAACGAGAAGTGATCCCACAGGATACAGATGAGCAAATCCTGCCCTTTGGCTCTGGGACTTACCAGTTGTGTGTCCTCATGTGTGATGACACCCCGAGCCTTGCACCGGGTGGTGTGAACCTTCTTAGAGACTGGGAAAACCTGTAGGAAATTAATTAAACATATTACACAGCCAAGATATGCCAAAAAAAAAAAAAAAACCAACAAACAGGTTAACAGCCTGAATCCCACCCCAGCTTCACCTTCCTGCCCAGGAGCTGGTTGCAGAGCGTGGATTTCCCAGCGTTGGGAGCGCCGATGATSGCGATTCTCAGCACCTTCGGGTTCTGGGGCTGGTCGGGCCGATTCTCCAACAGGCGCTTCTGCTCCTCTGCCAAGCAAACGAACAGGACGCTGCCAAACCCCTCTGCGGGTCGGGATCTTCCCGGGGMGAGGCGGCAGGCAGCAGCACTCACTCACCTTTGTCGGTGGCCACGGGCGGCGGGTGCTGGCCCAGGGCGGCGGGCGGTGCCTCGGTGGGGATGCCCAGCAGGCTCCCCAGCGCCGAGCTGCTCCCGCTCCGGCGGGACGGAACAACGCCCACGATCCTGCCCAGCGCCGACCTGCTGCCGCTCCAGCATCCCCCCGGGAGGCGAGCTGCAAGGACACCATCAGCAAACACCCAGAACGTACAGAAAACACCCCAAAATCGCGTTGCGCCCTTCCACCACACGCAGCGCGCCGGCAGCGCCTCAAGGCATCCGGGCTGAGCCATGCCCGTCCCGGCCTCCCGGCTGCCACCTCCCGGATCCAGCCGCTCCCGCTGTACGCCCGGAGCCCCACCGCACCTGCTCCCAGCCGGAGCGGCCCCGCCGCGGCGGCACCGGCGGCCCAGAGCACGGCCCGGGCGGCGGCCGCGGCCATGGGAGCCGCCATSTTGCCCCGCCGCGGGGCATGCCGGGAAGGCGAGCGGTGCCCGCCAGCATTGGCGCACAGCGCGGGGACATAGAGAGCGGGAGRGCGGGGACAGAGCGCCGCTGTGCCGCGGGGAATTGTGGGATGGAAACGGACGGGGTGCCGGCGGAGCGGGGCGGGGACGAGGGAGCGCCTCCTGCTGGCGGCACTGAGCGGAGCAGGCGACACCACCGCGGTGTCCCCAGATCTCCCGGTGTCCCCAGTGTCACCAGTGCCCTCACAGAGCTCCCCGTGCCCCCAGTGCCCCCCCAGTGTCCCCAGTGCCACCAGTGCTCCCACAGAGCTCCCGGTGCCCCCAGTGTCACCAGTACCCCCACAGTGCTCCCAGTGTCACCAGTGCCCCCCCAGAGCTCCCGGTGTCACCAGTGCCCCGCCAGAGCTTCCGGTGTCACCAGTACCCCCCCAGAGGTCCCGGTGCCCCCAGTGTCACCAGTGCCCCCACAGTGCTCCCAGTGTCACCAGTGCCCCTCCAGAGTTCCCAGTGTCACTAGAGCCCCCACAGTGCTCCCAGCATCACCAGTGCCCCTCCAGAGCTCCCGGTGCTCCCAGGGTCACCAGCGTCTCCCCAGTGGTCCTAGTGTCACTAGTGCTACCATTGCCCTCCCGGTGTCACCAGCGCCCCCCTAGAGCTCCCAGTGCCCCCAGTGTCACCAGTATCACCAGTGCCCCCCAGTGTCCCCACAGTGCTCCCGGTGCCCCAGTGATGCCAGTGACACCAGTGCTCTCAGTGACTCCAGTGTTCCCCGTCACACAGCCCGGTTTGTCCCAGTACCCTCCACAACACGCACACACCGGCTGGTCCCAGTGCTCCCTACAACCCTCTCCATCCATCCCAGTGCACCCCAGGATGCCCAGTGCCCCCCTCAACACATCCCATGCATGTGACAACACCCCCCTGTGTGCCCCAGTGCTCCCAGTTCCCCTCTTCTGTACAACCCTGTTCATCCCAGTGCTCCCCCAATGTTCTTCGAGTCTCCCAGCCCTCCCCAGTGCCTCCCAGTTCTCCCCAGTGCTGCCTGCAACACCCCACAGTTCACCCCGTGAACCCCGCACCTCAAAGCCCTGCCCTAAGGTACCCCTGTACCCCTCTACGCCCCAAAACACCCAAAATTCCCCCTCCCACCCTGCACCCCAGTGCACCCTTGAGCTCCCCAGTCCACCCAGTTACTCAATTCCACCAGGCCCTGAGCCCCCAGGGGATGGTGGTGAGGAAGCAGAGACGGAGCCACGGTTCKGTAACCCCATTTATTGTCCCGTGCCCGACCCCAGCGCTCCATCGCCGTGTCCGTTCCGTGCCGTTCCGTGCCGTGCCGCATTGCCGGCCGTCGGCAGAACCGCTACCATTACTAAACTCAGTAATGGTAACGGTTTCCCCGCCGGCCGTGGGTTCCTGGCCGCACCCCGAGCTTCCCGCAGCCCGGGACGCCCCATCCCGCCCCATCCCGCCCCACACCGCTCCCGGTGTCCCAGGATGCCCGGTCCCACGCCGGTGCCGGCGGTCGGTGCAGCCCGGGGAGTACATCATCTATACTGTAGTGTCTCATAGCCAACTTACAGTATACGATGATATCCTGCCCGGGACAGCGCGGAGAGGGGAGCAGAGCCTGCGGGGGAGAGCGTGGTTAGGGAGCACAGCCCGTTCCCACCCCTATATCCCCTTCACCCCATCCCTGTCCCTCGGATCCCGTTGCCTCCTGAGCTTCCCGGAGGCCTCCCCACCCCAGTCACTCCCACCTGCTCTTTATCCCTATTGATTCCAGAGCAGGATGGAGGTTCTTGGTGGCTTCCCCTACCCGGGTATCCTCCCAAATCCCTCCTTGTCACCCCATTCCCACCCTGGAGAAGAGCAGAGRATCCCAATWGTCCCTYCACCCCAATACCCCCTACCCTATATTTGCCCCCTAATCTCGCTGCCCCAGAGTGGGATGAAGGCTCCCAATTTTCTTCCCACCCCAGCATCCCCCTAACCCCTCCCTGCAGCCCAAATCTCACCCCCTCAGAGCAGGACAGAGGTTCCCAAAACCCCATCTTTTGTCTGCCCCCAAATCCCACCCTCCTGGAGCAGAGCAGCAGATCCCCAGGTGGTGGCACCTACCTATGGGGGTGGCACTGGGGCTTTGTGGGGTGCTGGGTCTGCACCCGCCTTATAAAACCTGCTCTGCCTCATCTGCATATCTCACATCTGCACTGCACAGCTGGACGGGGCCCTTAACCCCTTCACGCCCGGGGGGGGCACGGATCCAAGCAGCTCCCCTCACCCAGCCTGGCATTGTCCATGGGGGATGTGGGGATGGGGGCTTTGCAGGGGTCATCCCCTGTCTGTCTTCAACTAGAGGGTGGCCCCCACAAATTCCCCCTTSTGCTGTGGTCACAGGATTATCCCTTCCCAAARYTGTGGGGTCCCTGAACTGGGACTTTGCCATTGCAAACTGGCTCCCAGTTGCTGGACAGTGGCGTTGGACAGGGCAGGGTGGCAGCATGTGGGATTGGGGTCCTGGGGACATCTGGGTGTGGGGGGTCACCCTGCACAGGCACCCAGGCCAGGTGAGGTACAGGGTACACGTGGGTGCAGGGAGCCTGTGTCCCCCTGGGTAGGTGACCTCTGAAGTGCTGTGTCCCCTGGCCATATATGCTCCCCTAAGGGACATGTCCCCTAGTAGTGTGTCCCCAAAAAAGGATTTGCCCTCCTGCCTTCAGGGACTCCCTGGAAATACGTTTGTCCTCCCAGGGGAACGTGTCCCTTCGAGGGATGGATCCCCCAGCTGTGTGTCCCCAAAGGCATGACCCCCCTGACCACTGTGTCCCCAAGAAGGCTCTGTCCCCTCACTGTGCATGACCCTGGTCATACTTGCCCCATGACCACACATGTCCCCAAATGGCTGCACACCCCCTGACCATGAGTGTCACCTGCCAGTGCATGGCCCTGGTCATCTGTGTCCCCCAGCCCTGTCTGTCCCCACAGGGTCACATCCTGCAGCCAGTGCTGTGCCATTGTGCCGGGTTGTTTGCTCTGGGACACGCTGGCGTTCCTGGAAATCGGCTGTGGGGAGGAGATAACCCCCATCGGGACAGTCTGCGCAGGGATCCCGATAAGCAGCGGCCTCTGGCTATCGGGGACCCTGCCCTGCCACACAAGGTGTCCTTGGAGCCACTGTCACCTCCGGGTGACAGGAAGAGGAGCAGCATTGCCCACAATCCCCCCAGCCTGGCCAAACCGTGGCAGGAGGTGGCACAGGGTCAAACCCTGGCCTCAGACTGTCCAGGGGCATGACGTTGTGGGGAATTGGGGGTTGCAAGGGATCTCCTGGTGTTGGTCCTTCCTGTGACCCAGAGGTGTCCTGGAGCCTGCAGTGTCCCCCAGACTGTGACACAGGCACCCCAGCACGCAGAGCAGTGACAGGCAAAGTGTCCCCGAGTCCCTCAGGCCCTGCCAGCTCCAGGTGAGTCCCATGGGATCATCCCCATGGCATTGTCCCCATGCTGGCTGTGCCTGCCAGCCCCACTGCCTGCGCAGCACTCGTGCCCTGTGGCCTTGTMCCTCACCTGAGTGTCCCCCAGGCTGAGCAGGTGTGGGGACCCCGAGTGCCACAGCCACAGGAGACCCCCCGAGTGCCACAGCCCCCCCAGCAGCCACGCTGGCCCAGGGCAGCGCATCTGGCCCCAGATAAGGAGGCACTGGGAGCTGCTGGGCTGTCCCCACCCTGTCTATCTGCAGGGCCACCCTGCAGGACACACAGAACGGGGCCTGTTGTCCTGCCCTGTGTCTGGGGGGACATGGAGGGGCTGGAGGGCACAAGGAAACCACGTTTTCCCCGGGTAGGACAGTGCAGCAAAGCCCCCCGTGACAGTCCCGTGCTGGCTGTCACTGCTCCTGCTTGCAGGGTGACCCTGAGCAGGACAGGCACCCTCAGAGCCCCCCTGCTGTCCCCCAGCGCAGAGAAGGGTGCGTGGGGCTGGGACAGGGCTCCGGTGACAGGGCAGGGGGACACGAGCTGCTGCCACAGCCTGGCTGTTGGGACAGACAGCACCTTCAGCCCTGCTCCAGAGCCCAGGGTGCCACTCTCTGGGGTGCCCTCGCAGCGGTCACCCCTGGGGTGACACGGGCCAAGCACTGGAGCTCACTCGGTGCCTCCACGCTCATCTCCGCAGGAGCAGCATGAGGCTGTGCCCCCACTGAGCGCTGGGACACGGAGCCCATGGGGACACGGTGACCGTGGGGAAGCCACCAGTTCCAGGAGCTTTGCAGGAGCAGCGTGAGCCCCCACACAGCCCCTGCTCCCCCATCCCAGCGGGAACGCTGCAGGGCCAGCAGCCCCGGGCCAGCCCAAGCCACGGTTGGCAGCGCACCCGGGGGTGCTGTGGCGGGACAGACGGGCGCGAGCGACGAGACAGAGCCCAGGCAGGAGGTGACAAGGGTTTATTATCTCGCAGCAGCGGGGTGGCGGGCGCAGGCACATGCAGATAGGGTCCAGCCCGGCCCGGCACGCCTGCCCGGCCAGCGCCAGATCCGCCCTGCCGCCCCCGGGCCAGCGCAAGCCCGGGGCTGATAACGCCGCTCCCCCCGCCCCGGCGGCAGGGAGGGCATGGGGGGGCCGCAGCAGCCGCCCAGCCACCGTGGGTCACTCCTGGGGACATCACTGGGAGGGACCTGCACCCACTCTATGGCACGGGGTGGGGGCACGCAGCTGTGGGTGCAAGACCCCCAATGCCACCAGCCCCCAGCAGGGCCGGGCTGACTTCACACACGGGTCTGGCTGTGCCAGCCACACTGAGCACAGGCAAGGCGACAGGCAGGGAAGGGACACGGGCCAGCACAGGGCTCTGGTGGCACTGTGGGGGGGACGGACACACACAGAGGACAACCTCTTTCACATTGTCACAAGGCAGCAAAGCCACTGGCCATAAGAGGCAGGGGGAGGGAGCAARGYAGGGGCAGCTGAACAGGMCCCATGGTGGAGGAGCCTGTCCCCACATCAGTGTCCTGCTTGTCCCACTCACCTCGGACCCACAGGTTAAGTAGGTGTGGGGTCAGGAAGTGCCACAGCACCCGGGGACAGCAGCCACAGTGGCTTCACCACCCTCTCAGGGGATGGGTGACTTTGGCACAGTGCTACTTTTTGGTATTCCTGGTGRTGGGACCTTACCAGGGCTGAGCTGGGCTTCCTCTACTCTTTGAAGCTCTCCCTGCTCCAGATCCTATGAGGAAACTTCACCAAGGGGAGCCAGCATGGGAGAGAGCAGCACCCACTGCTCGTGCTGGATTGTCACCTTTCCAGGAGGGTTGGCTGCCACCTTTGGCACTGTGGGGACACTGGGGTGAGACACAGGGACAGGGAGAGCCAGCCACAGGGACAGCTGTGGGCAGAGCAGGGTTGGGCAGTGCCCAGGACGGTCACTGAGAGAGGGCAAGAGCCCAGGGAAGGAAGATTCTGACTGTTCTCTTCCTAAAGCTCCACRTCCCAAGCCTCTGCTCTGAGCTCCAGGTGCTCACCCCAGGGCAGAGAACAGCAAGRCACTGGGACTGCAAGACAAGCTGCCAGTCATAACTGGGGATGGGATTGGCCTGAGACAACACAAAGGTAATTAGAAAACAAATCTTCTCCCAGCCTTGGAATAAGAAGAGCAGCAGACAGGACATGCATCTTTCTGGCCCTACAAAATAAGGCACCAGTTACAAAGGAAACTCGGATTGTCTTTGATATAAAAGGAATTCCCACGTGTCGAAGGCAGTTGATGTCTGAGTGCATAACAGGGAGTGATCTTCACTAGCTTTGGGTTGGCCAACCTCATTCCTTGGCCTCGGTGGCTTTCTGGAACAGGGGAAGCTGCAGGAGGGGAAGAGAGAAGATGTTAGGGCTGGAGGAGGGGGAGGCAGGGAGCTGCCTACACTGCAGTGCCCAGGGCTGGGGAAGGAGAGGCTTCCTGGGAGGCTGAAAGCTTCCAGGCAAGTCCCTGCACCCTAGGAGCCACTGGCATTGCCAGCTGCCCGTGCCCAGCTCACCTTTGTGAGATCCACACCAGTGATGGCACGCACGGCAGCAGGGACCTCAGCCAGGAGACGGTTCATGTCCGACATGGTGTTGCCTTTCTCTCCGCTGAGAATAACGATCTCATCCACTTTGGAGAGCGGAGCAGACACTTTGGCAGCGATCTGGGGAAGCAGGGATGAACAGAGAGTCAAGGAACTGCTCAGCACTCACTGGGACACGTCACCACAGGGCTTTGCTGTGCTCCCAGCCCAGTCTGGGAACTCCCCCATCCCACCCAGAGCAGGGGAAAGCTGCTCCCTCCTCACCTCAGGCAGTGCATCCAGCACTAGAGACAGCTGAGCAGCTTCTCCGTACTTTTGGAGCGCTTCTGCTTTCAGCTTCAACCCCTCAGCCTCCGCCATCCCCACGGCCTCAATCACAAAAGCCTCRGCTTCTCCGATCTTGCGGATCTTTTCTGCCTCTGCCTGAGCGAGGAGGATTTGCTTCACCCTGGAAAGGGAAACGCAGCCCTGCAGCAGCCTGGATCCCTGCAGAGAGCCCAGYAGCTGGGGCTCAGGGCAGCACTGTGCTCCCAGCTCCCCAGCCCAGGGCAGGGGCTCACTCACTTCTCGCCCTCGGCGACCTGTTGGATGCGATAGGCTTCGGCCTCRGCCGGCTGCCTCACAGTGGCCATCAGCTCCTTCTCCATCCGCACCACYTCCTTCTCCTCCACCTCGATCTGCTTCTTGCGCTCCACCACCTCGATTTCGATCTCCTCCTGACGGATCTTCTGCTGCTCCCGGGCGCTCTGGAGCTCGTAGGCCAGCTGGGCCTCTGCAGTCTGCACACRGGGGAGAGGAGAAGAGGGGGCTGGGCCACAAACTCCTGTGCACAGACCCCAAAACCAGACACAACTCCTGCTACTGAACCTCTTCCCAGGGGTGACGTCCCAATTCTCAGCGCTGTAGTTCCCTGTCTGCTCTTCCCACAGCACCTGACCCAACCAGCTCCAGGTTCAACCCTCCCCACCCTTTCCTCTCCTCCGAGTCCCACTTAATTGTTGCAAACAGGAGAGGAATCTGCTGCAAGGAGCTCACACAGTGACACACAGGCCTGGGTTCTCCACCTCCAGYTCTCCTAACCAATGCAGGAAGAGGMAGCTGACAAGTCCCAGAGCCACCAACACCATCACAAACCCTCCAGGCAACAGCAGCGGGCTGTGGGATACTCTCACCTTAATGTTGACCTCCTCAGTGAAGGCAGCTTTCTGCAATTCAAAAGCCCGTTTGGAATCTGCTATTTTGGTATCTGCCTTGAACTTGACATCCAGCATTTCTTTTTTGCACTCTGCCTCCTGCAGAGAGGGAACAGAGAACAGAGCTTCAGGGCGTGCARCTGGAGCACAAAGAGCTGCTCCAGGGAAGCCCAGCACATCTCTGGACTCACCCGAATGCCAGCATCCCGCTCGGCTTCTGCCACTCCAATGTCTGCATCCCTTTGGACAGCTGCAATCTGAGTCTTCCCCAGGGAGCTCAGGTAATCCACTTTATCATAGACATCCTGGGGAGGGAGGTAAGTCATAACCACTTCAAATGAGCAACTCCATCTTGCTCCCTTTCCCACCAAAGCTCAGCATGGTCAGGCCAGGGTCGGAATGCGCCACGTGAGCTGCTCCAAACAAACGGGGAGGGCAGGGAGAGGCTCTCCCGACAGCGTCCCTCTCTCCCAGGAGGATGGGTTAGCAGCCAGCTCTCTCCACGAGCCTGTTTAYAGAGGCAGCTCTGTAAACTGGGTGCTCTTGGCCCAGCTGCCTGGATACAGGACATGCTGTGGCGGCTGTCATGGAAACTCCCAGAGGCCTGGGACAGGCTGTCAGCCCGAGCCTTCCAGCTGCAGTCAGGGCCAGGCTCTCTCCTGCTGCTCCTACAGCTCTGYCCAGAGTGCAGCCCCCACCACCTGGGCGTACCTTGATGGTGAAACTCAGGATCTCGATCCCCATGCGACCCACGTCGGGAGCTGCCACCTCCCGCACCAGCTTGGCAAACTGGTCCCTGTCCTGGTAGATCTGCTCCACTGTCAGGGTACCTGCAGAGAAAGGGGAAGCACTTTATTTGGAAYAGGTTACACACAACAATGTGGGTCTAAGCTCAGCAAAATCCTCGTTGTCCCTAATCTCCTCAGGCCTGGGCACAAAGGCATAATCCTCTGTCCCTGCAGTGGCACCAACATCTGTGTCACAAGTGCAGCCACCACCCACACGTGCTACCTGTGAGCCTTGGGGACTCAGACATCTCTCACTGCAGGCACCGAAAACTCATTTATCACAACGCCCAGCCACACAGCAGGAGCTGCTGAAGGAGAGATGCCACCTCTGCAGGCAGCAAAGGAAGGTCCCATGTGGCTGTGTGGCGGCAGTGACACTGCTGGGACCAGCCAGCTGAGAAGGACAAAGCCACTCGAGATGCCTCYAGGGGATGAACCCCTCCATACCCAGGATGGAGCGCAGGTGTCCCTCCAGTGTCTGCAGGACCACGTTCTTCACATCCTGCACGTTCTTCCCCAAGAACTGCTCACAGGCCACAGCCAGGAGCTCCTTCTCGGTCATTATCTTCACCTAGAGACAGGAGACAGAACCAAAACGACTGAAGCTGCCTGTCCAAGAGGTGCAGGTGCCCAACAGCAGCAGCAGCAGCAGAAGCAGCAGTACCACCACCAGGCTGCCAGGCCCCCATGYTACCGATGCTCCAAGGGACACCACTGAGCTGTCACCACACTGAGCCAGGCCACTGGACCAGCCAGGGAGACCCTGCTCTCTGCTGCTGCTGTCCAAACCCTGACAGCAGCTCAGTGTGGAGGTGCTCCCTGCAGCCACCTGTCCCACAGCAGTGGGGACAGAGCCCGGCCCTACCAATCCCACCTCATGGAAACACTACCAAAAAGCCCTGAAATACCAGTTCAGCCACTGCACCAACACCAGAGCCAGRAGAGGGCTGGCTGTTACTATCCCCRGCCAAAAGCCTTTTTGTTACCTTTCTCTTCCTCCTCTTTCACTAGAATTATTTTTTCTGACCCAGGAAAGGCAAAGAACAAGAAAGAATCTGACATGCCCAAGGAGCAGCTTGGGAACAGAGGCTCCAATCAGTGTTTCCTGGAAGGAAAGATGAAACAATAAGGCCATAGCACACTGGATTGTCCTGCCTGTAGCTGGGAACTCCCAGACATCCTCTGCAATGACCCCAATGTGTCATGGTCAGGACTTGACTGTTCTGCTCCACGTGGTCAGTCTGGTGATGATCCCTAGAGGAGCGACACGGCTGCCACAGCAATGCTTTCACCTCCCACAGTCAGAGCCAGGTGTAAAAGCACCCCCATTCCAGCCAAGACAGGTTCTGAGGATGGTCCTGCTGGTCATAGGGGTCACAGGGCTGCTTTTTAAAGGTACAGTGAATTAGAGACCCCTGTGGAGTGTGTTAGGCAGTGGAGATCTGTGCTCTAGCACCCAGCTATGAGGAGCTGCAACTCACCAAGACAACAGCTMCTGGTGGCCCTGGGCAGTCTGAGGGCTCAGGCAAAGGCTGGGCACAGGGACATTCTGTGCCTAGCAGCACCAGAGAAGGAACAGGTCCACAGCAGCTACGCAGCTTTCCGGATCCTACAGCACCCTCTCATGGAGACAGCCGGGCTGGGCAGTGCCTCCTGTCCTAATGGGAGCTGGTGACACCCTGAGTCCTGCCCCAAGGGCCTTGGCTGGACCCGGCTCAGGGAATTCCAAAGCMACAGGGACCCTTGGAGGGTCACAGYRCACACTCTTGAGGGGTTCACAGCCTACAGATCTCATCCTGACACCTTCTAGAGTGCTTTCAGCTGCAAAAGTAACAAAAGGCTTTCTTGAGAGTCTTGTCTGACAGCCCAYGCATCCAAAATGATCTTTCCAGAGCCAAACAGCAGCACCTGCCAGAGAGCAGGACAACTGGGACTGACTGTCATCTTCTAAGACGACAGGAGGTGAACCATGTTATTCACAGTGAGCTGGCCAAAACTCACTTGCCACAACCCTGCCCCTTGTAATGTGAAGAAACACCAACCTGGGCTGAGCCTATTTCCTACTGCTGCTTCCCAGACTGGATCTCCCAGCCAAAATGTCAAACAGCCTCAGGCAAGYGTGGCAATCCTCCTCTACATTGTCCCCAAAGCCTCTTGGGATTCTTTCAGGACCAATTCCACAGTGGTTTCTTGTCCTTGCACCCCGGGCCAGCAGTGTGCTCTTCCCACACAAGGGGGAGTTGGGAGAGCTGCTCTGGAGCTGCACCCAGGAGCAGGAGCTCTGCTCTTGTATGAGGCTCCTCTCACAGAAAACTGGAGGTTTTTGCAAGTATCAAAAGCAATTAGACTCAGCAGCGATATTTATGGCGAGCATCTGCCAGCAATTCCACCTCTCCAAACAATCCCCACCCTCGGGAGCAGCAGGGAGGACTGAGCACAGGGCAGGATGCTGGTTAGGAGAATCCCTGTGGTACTTAGGATCAAGGAATCATTCAGCCTCCGAATAAAGCCAGCCAGACTCCACTGGTGAGCCCTGGGCAACCCACAGGAGCCTGGCTCTGCACGGAATACTGATCCCAACCTCCAAAGCAAAGACTGCACAAAGGAAACCAGAGCAGAGCAATTTGTGCTCRGTGTTCGCAGGGTTTCGGGCAGGGCACTGCGACACTCGGTGCTTCTCAAATGTCATTCCCACCAGAGGGAGAGACCTCGACTGGCAGGGAATCAGAGAGCCTCCATCCAGCAATCCATGTGCAGGATCGATGCACATTAAGCACTTCTATCATTACAGAAAACGCTTTAAAAGCTGTTTTTCTAGGAATAATTTGTTTGCTTCCCCCCTCCCTTTTTTTTTGCTCAAGCCCTTAAAAGAAAAATCTTTTCCTCAGAAGTACTTCTGCAAAATTAAGGTAACCTCTGCCACACAYATCCCCAACAGCCCTGAGGCTGCTTTCTCTGCAGAAATTCCTTGGATCYCAGCTTTAAAATTAACTGTCAGTGGAAAAAATGAACAGTGGGAAGAGAGAAGAACATGAATGAGATCAACTGGGGACTGCATTTTTAAATTAAGGCACCTGGTGATMCAGCCTGCTGCTACCAGACCATTTTGCAGGCAATGGAGGGATTTCCCAAATCTAGGACAAAAGGGAATGCTGGCTTCACAGAAACACCAAATACAGAAGGAAAAGCCTACACATTTAGGAAAAGAGTGTGAAGGGAGACATGGGTGCACACGTTTTGCCAACCATGCAAAGACCACTGGGGTTATGTGACACCTTAGCAGATAAATGGATATAAAGAACTGGAAAAGAACTGAAAGATGGATGGACATAAAGTACTGAAAAATTGAAACCAAGGGTGCTGGCTCCATGAGAGATTTTGGTCACATCTCTGCATCACTCAGCAGCTGCTCTTGGCTCCAGAGCTCCCCACAGGGAATGTGGCGGCCACTTGTCCTGTGATAAAACCTGGACATGCCTCAGACACACAGTAACCACAGCCTTGTGTGCACTGAGAGCCACTCCTGGTTTGTACACCCAGAATGARCTGTCAGGAGCAACTTTCAATCACAGCATCCAGCTGCCTGTTCGAGGAGCCCAATTCCCTCAAAAACTAACAACATCTCCCTCCCAGTATCCTCCCCAGGGCAGGACCTGGCCAGGAGAACAGCCTGTACCAGGAYAGCAGACCTCAGACTCCAAGAAGTGCAGGGTTTTGGTGCGCTGCCACAAGCAGCAAAAGCARGTTCTTACAATTGAAGAAAGCTGAAGAGAATCAAAATTCAATTCAAGCCAGAAATTTTACGTGCCAGTTTTAGTGCCTGGAGGGACTAAGTTCTTTTTTTTTAAGCTTTAACTCACCATGAAGAATGACAAGGTCCACATGCTAACAATAACAATCCAAAGCAATATAATGCTTGATTCCATCTCAGGAGTTTATGGGTCAGTCCTGTGGGGTCACACACAGCTCCAAGGGCACCGCAGCATTCCACAAACACATCAAGTCACCCCCACACACCTCATTTGCACGTGGACAAATGAGACACCAGAAAAAAATCATTCTGGGGAGAGGAGGAGGAGTGGTCACAACCCCCTTCACCACACAGGACATGCTGGAGCGTGTCTGAACCAACAAGGACAGTGTGGTTTTGTACAAGGATTTATTTCAGAGCAGTTGGCTTCTCTCCTTGGACAACAGCAACCTCTTAAGGGGGAAAACCAGATGTAAGTCAGAGACATGCATTCCTGAAATGATGTTTTGGAGTTACTGTACCTGTGCCACACCTGTGACAGTTATAGCTACCCCCTCCGCCGTCTCTACGTCCTCACACCTGGGCTGTAACGTCATTATCTCTAGGGAAATCCTGCCAAAAAACGTAAAATATTTGCACGTTTCCAGGTTACACACACTCACCTCTTCCCTTGCATCTCCTGCCCTGGGCTAYCTGCTGCACTCATCACAGGTAATGCAAGACAGGCACAGAATGCAGCCAAGGGACCACATCTGTGACTGGAAACAGGGCACTGTGGCCAAGAAATACATTTTCATATAATGCTTAAAGGGAATTTGTCAGCAAAGGCTGGAAATCCAGACTGGAAATGATCCCGTGACCCTTTCCCTCGTGTTGGGTTAGTGACAGGCCAGAAGCTGCAGCTTTGGGACCCCAAAGGGCCCTCTGTCAGAGGCTCGTTGTGCCACACTACCCAACACCAGGGCAGCACTGACCAGGGATGGTGTCACTGGTTTAAAAGCACAGCATGGAACTGGGATGGTCCCACCCACCTCACACAGGCACTGGTGCTTGGCAGAACCTGCTGAAGAAGCAGCCCTGGGTTAGCCCTACCACAGACCTAACCCCTGCTCTGGTTTACCTCTCTCTCTACTTTTCCAGTGTCCAGTGGCCCAAAGGCAGATAGAAATGAATCTCCAGTTCTTTATGCTCTCACCTGTAGAGTATCAGGCAGCCAGGAACAGATCCTGCAGCTCCAGAGCTTTCTCAGTCACCCCAGGTGGGCTTGAGGCACTTTGGTCACACCCAGCAATCTCCAGGTCACAATTTGGTAAAACAAGGGACATTTTTGGCTGAGGCCAGGCCACCAAGCCTGGCTCCCATGTCAGCCACAACAAACCATAAAGGTGTTGGGTGTCAGCACAGGGAGCCATGGGGCAGAGAGTTTGTGTCAGYGAACATTAGGTCAAACATCTGAACCATGAAGGGGCTACCCTGGGCTGCTGKGTGCACGCTGAGTTGCTCCAGGATTGGCTGCAAGTGCTGAAACCTATCCCTGCAAGTTCATGCCTGCCTTGGCCAGTGTCCTAATTACACTGGCACGCAAACTGGGAGCTGATAAAACACATCCCACTGTCCAAGACGTGCACGGCATTTTTTTTTGCCATGTGATCACAGCTTTAATCAGATACTGCAGGATTTTTTCTGAAGACCTAATCTAGACTCTGAATTTAATTCCCAAACTGTGCTGCTTCTCAGCTGTCAGTTCACAGTGATGTTTGGTCATTACTTGYTCATAACTGCTCACAGTACCTATCCAGTCCTGTGTGCTTCAACTCATCCAAGGTCTCTATGCTGTTCTTTCAAAGGTGACAACATCCAAAATGGGCACCTGTCTCCATGAGGAGGAAGAAGGGCTGAGTGAAGCATAACAAACACTGAAGAGCCAGGCACAGTCGCAATTTTGAAATGGCACAAAACCTGCCTTCCCACCTGTCCCAAATCCTGTACAGAATCCAACCTGGCTTGCTTGTGCCCCCACACAAGAGCAAATGCTCTTCTGCTCTCCCCCAAACCCACAATGGAGACAGTGCTGGTAAGGAAAGGGTTACAGCAGGAGCAAATGTTAGGTACAGCAATGCTGAATTTGGAATTTGCCAGGGATGTACCTGTCTGCATTACCTATCAACTATGGAGTGCCACAGGGCAAGTGCTGGAGAAGGAGAAAGGGAAGAAGAGGAAGGTATGGAGATTTCAGCTTTCCCGTTAGAAAACCATTAGTTTTTATGTTATCCTGCTGCTGCTGCTGCTGCTGCTGCTGGAAACAGAGGGATAAACAGTTAGACAGGATGTTAGGAAGCTGGTGGATTATTACCTGTGCAACCCCTGTTACGTACAGTGGGACCCCCTCCGACGTCTCAACATTCTCGCAGCGACAGAGGATGGTCAAAACCTCCAAAGACACTCTGAGCAGGGAGGAGTAAGGGTAGGACAGCAAACACACAGAGCAGTTACCAGAGAGTAAGACACTCGTAAAGGACAGACGAGACTTTTGGGTTTCAGCTTTTCCCTGTTCAGTTTGCCTCTCTCCCCTTGCCCCATAATCAGCTTCCCTGGTCATAAGGGGAAGTTTACAGCATCCAGCAGCCTCTTTTAATGAGGATAGATGTGTTGGGGGCTAGTCCCCACCCTGCACATGAAACCAAACGGTCTATGCCATCCTGGTGTCAGCTGGAATTCTCTGCTGAAGTAATCTTTGCACAYAGAAAAATTCCTCTTGGTAATAATTCAGAGGTTTCTATGTCAATATTTAAGAGAGRCCAGAAAAATGAAAACGCCAGGGACCTGGCTACCCACCCCTGGCTAAGGCATTAAGGAGAGAAGCTGCTTCCAAGTGCTGTCCTGGGAAGCTGAATTAACACCATTTGGCTCCCCCAGAGGCATATTAGACCACGCTGTCTCTCTCTCTGCTTTTATTTCTGACCCCTAAACAGGGACAGCATTTTTTCCCCTTGTTTTTCCCCAGTGCTCAAGGTTGCAGCAGGATAAGTGCCCAGCACCCTGCCAGTTCTAACTGTTCCTTTTGTTCCCAGGTTAATGCTACCTGGCGGGATGCCGCTGACAGCAACACAATTGCTCCTGTCTCTCTTGCTCACAGCACTGGCAGTTCCAGAAAAAATGTCCTAATTTCAGAGAAGGAAATCTATCTCACTCTTCATGTTAATGCAGCCAGCTCCATCTGGGGCACAGCTTATGGCATGTGAGAAAAGAGAATTAAGTCCCACATCCCATGGCATGAAGTGGTATGGATTTTAAAGCAGAAGATTTGTTTGGATGCTGGAATTCCTGTCAAGAGCCCCACTTGCTAAATAATGCCCAGACCTCTATCACCTAACAGCTCATTCCTGGCAATCAGTTCTTGGCCCTGGATTCAGCCTATCCTTAACTTAACAAATCAGACTCCCAWATATGTATCTGTTATCTCCTGCATTGGGCAGGTCAAGGTCCTGAACCATTCTCTGGGCTTATCGCAAAGGAAGAGGAGGAACAAGAACCATTTGCTCAATTAAAAAGATGCCTCACAAAAATTTGGGAATGAAGCTTGTCTGGATCAAATGGATAAGACTGAGCCCACTAGACAGGCTTTTCCTTCCTGTCCCACAGCCACATGCTTGCTTTGCCTGCTGGTGACAACACATGTACAGGAAAAAAGAGTTTGGAAGACCAGGCTGTAAGGGTTAACTTCAACCTCTGGCCATCACTTGGTGCAAAACCCAAAAGTCACGTCTTTATCCTTTTCCCTGTTATTTTTTTTACACAGACGGGAGAAACCTGCATGAGTGAGCATGGGGGATATATTTGGAGAGAACATCCCTACAGATCCTAGGGACAAAGAGCTGTATTAGCAGGACAGCAGCACTACCACAGCATGTCAGYTCAGAGACCAGACTGTAAGCAGCAGCAAGCAAAATCCAAAACTGAGCAAAGGGAGAGGAAGGAAATCCCGTGKTTTTAAATGGGAACAGTCTGCCCCCAAGGTGAGAGCAGTCAGCAGATCTTTACAAAGAGAGACTTAAGGAGCAGAGGGGGGCACTGCAGGCCATGAACTGGTTTGTTACTGGGCGAGGGGTTGGGCCATACCAGGCAGAGCTTGGCTCCTCTTGTGGACACAGAGGCCATTTGAAAAGTACTTTGGCTGAAAGCGTGGGATTTCTTTTTTAGTGTGTGTCTTCTGCACTGTGRCACCCAGCTGTCCCCAGGCCAACAGCCAGCAAAGAACTCCTGATGCTCATCCACAGTTTCATACACAGTGCCTGGTCCAGTGCTCCCAAAGATACCGCTGATAGCCCCGCTGGGATGATTTTGCCAAATTCCTACTCCAAAAACCCACAAATAAGGCAGTCTCCTTACCTTTGGGTGTCAGTAATGCACCACCATGCCCAGGCCCAGCCTCCATACACATATTGCTTCTGATCAGAGCCACAGCARCCACCTGCAGCACAGCAGAGAGCACAGAGACATCAGGATTTCACACATGATCTTGGACMGGGAATAACCTACAGGGAGAGGAGTTCATGCTCTTCCTCCTCTCCATGGGCTTCACACAGCAGTTTTCCCAAGGCAACCTTTTTTGGAATTGTCTTATAAAACTGGAAAATAGTATTTGTAATAATGGCACACAGTAACACACAGAAAGTGACTGTATTTCAAACCAGGGTTTTATTTTAGTTAAGCACTTTTAGCAACGAGAATCATCATAAGTATCTTCAACTGTGTACAGGAAGCCACATATGAAATTCACTTCTTTTCCTCACACCACCTGTAAATTTCCAGAGAACCTCAGAAATCAGGATTGGAGGASGGCAGAGCCCTTGAGCTCCCAAAAAATACCTCCTAGTTCTGGCTCGTGCAAGTAGCACAGTGCCTGATGCTTTGATGGTCCATCCCAGAGCTGGAAATGCCCAACTCAGGCAGCTCCAGAACTCCTCTGACACATTTAAGATTTGATCCCAGTGAAGCCAGAAGATGCTGTCTGGATTTTCGTATCTTTGATTTAAGRAACAAGACACCTTTCAAGCAGCACCCTGGCAGTGATCAGTCCTGGGATTCCTGCTTCGGAAGGCAGGAGCTCTGCAGCTCTCCAGCTCGGACCAGGGCTGGGAGCTGCTGCCTCTCAGGAAAAYAGAGCCAGAATTCCCTCTCTTGTCTGCTCTCCATAATCCCTGCTACTTCAGCAGYGCCTGAGGGCCTCAGCAAGGCGAGTGCTGTACAAACAGAGCAACAGACAGTTCCAGCCCCGCGGGGTGGATCTATACAGGCAAGACAGAGCCGGCGCAGAGGAAGAGCAGGAATGCGGAAAACGGTGTGGCTGTGGGAGCTTTGGGTTGTGGGAGGGGAAAGGGAGAAGGATGAAGCCAGCAGCCCTTACAGGAGAAATGACCATTATTGTTTGCTGCGATAGGTCAAAATGAAGAAGGAAAGGCAGCATGCCTGCAGGGYCCTCTGACGAAAGGAGGGGACTGTCCTCCTTGTTCTCCTCCCAGTCCTCCAGCATTTAGCCATCTTYTGACTGCTTCCACATACTGCCTGTTTTGCTGGCTTCCATGCAGTGATTGACGCACCAGTGGATCTGTCCCATCTACAGTTCTTCACCCTTTCATTTCAGTAAGAATTAAACACAAACGGGAAAAASTTTCATACACTTTCAGATCTCCTGTGCTTCACAGCCTGGAGGAATATTCTCCTGTCACCTCTGAGCCAGTCTTTGGATAGCTTCTTCCCAAAACCGGAAGGCTATTTCAGCCAGGCAAGTGTTACARAAGCTGATGATACAATATCCTGTAGTAACCACAACGTCTTTAACATTTCTTGGAGGGCGCCAGCCCGGTTAGCTCAGCCTTTCAGCCAGGCCCTTGTTTTCCAAGAACAGGAAGGGAGGTGTTCCTGGCAGTCGGGAAAAGCAGCACCACATGGAAAGGTATTTTATTTCGCAGAGTCTTTACCAAACCTCTGTTAATTGTGTCTTAATAATATCCTGAGAAAGCTCTGCACCCTAAAGCAGGAAAGTGCCTCTCCACACAGACGTTCCTCTTCTTCTGTAGAAAACACAAGGAAATACYTTATTTAGTATCACACCTGAAACGAGCTCCACATTTGTTTCTCAGTGCTACACAGTGCAGAGCACAGCCTACCGAGCTAGAATATATGTCAAAAACTGTTCAAGGCCTTAAAAAAAACAAGGAAAACTAACACATTAGGGAGAAGTGGGATGCCAGCCAGTTGCTTTCACGCACGCTGGACATCTGAGCGCAGCAGAGCTCCGTCCTGGTAAGGCTGAGGAGCTGAGGGTTCATTTTCCATGGCAGTCCTGCCGCCTCTTTCTCAATTCTCAGGCAGCAAGTGAAAAAGGAACCAACAAAGCGAAATCTTTGCAAGGCTRAAGAATAAACCCTCTTGCACAATGAGATTTGGCAGAGAAATTGCCTTTTCCAGCTATAATACGCCCACTGTTCCAGCAGACTGGGTCTCACAGTCGCTTGGCCATCGCTTCCACAAACATCCACCATGCCTCTTCCGGGGCAGTGTGCAGGGCCACAAATGGAGGATTCATAGCCAGGGAGCTGCCAGCCAGCTTGGCCTCTTCCCAATGAAGGGGTCTCATGTTCAAGCAAGAATTCCCAGAGCCAGGAGAAAGTACGTTGTCTRTTTGTTTGGGGTTTTTTATTGTGAAATAAGATTAATCGCTYGGGAGTTGGTAGATAAAAGGAGCTCTCAGCAGATGCAGGAAGCTAGCAAGGAAGAACGTGAGTCTCAATAGTTTTGGGGACACAGGGCTCAAAACATCAAAGATGGGATAATCTGAACAAGCTTTGTGTTGTTTGCTCTCCCAGGTAACTCGGGCACTGAGTTACCTCTCTGGCAGGAAGTGGTGAGCATTCCGAAATCAGGTCATGGTAAACAGGCTGCTGAGTGAAGACAGAGCAGGAAAAAGCTGATGACTGRAAACAGTTACTGACAAAAGATAATGCAGAGATAGAGGAAGGCAAAAGCATACATAAAGAAAATCAAATCCTAAAGCAAGGCCCAGACTAAAGTCAATGTCTGGTTCTTAGGCCCTGCTGTGCATTAAAATTAGGCTTTGTTCACATGAAGAAATACTACAAGGTTAACAAAAATTAATTTAAAAGGATGMAGGGTTCTGACTCGAATCCATAAAAGCCTCTGATGGTCATTGCAGCAGATGAAAGCAGATTACACTTGGGTATCTTGTTCTGGATGTAATCTATATGAAAATTACTTAATGCATATCAATGCTATGAAGTGAATTAAAAAACACATTTAGTAACTCATCTTGCAAACTGAAACTCAAAGAAGACAAACAACAATGAAGCTACACAACAAAATCACAGAGATATTACCCCACAATTCCTCTTGGAAACTAAAAGAAAAGGCCTGAGGCCATTGTCCACCTTCTTCTCCTGAAATGCTTTCAGAAGAGTAGTTTGAAAGTCCTGGGGATTTAACAAGAACATGACAGGGGAAAACTTGAACCCCACCACCTGCAAAAATGTTGCAAACCACCTTGTGAGAAGGAAAGGATCCCAGAGGAGCTGGGGAAAGACCCTTTTGAGCAGACATGGCTTGAGACCAGCTCCAATGCTATACTATCAGCAACCCCTGAGATCACAAGCAATGAGAAACCAACCATGAGGAAAGATTTTTGGCTTGCTGAAATGACAAACCTAAATCTGCAGGAGTACTCAGTTAAACCTGGCAGGTGACCATCAGTGCCACTGCAAGTTTCCTGCACAACTTGCCTGGTGCAAGAGGTGGAACACCCGAAACACAGCCCTGGGGAACAGTTTGAACTGAATGAACTGTATGAACACATGGCAAATCTTCACACAAGACCCACTGAAGCTGCCTGCTCCTTTCCACAAACTCCTCTTTCTTTGGAGGCTGAAGAACTGGAATTTCACCACTAGCATGAGCATTCAGGTGGTTCTCACTGCTCACCACATCTCTCCACAGCACACAGCCTGGACCTTCTCGTTCCATTTTCATGCAATAGATGGTTTTGACCTAAATGTAACTTCTACATTTCTCCTTCCTGAACTGCACTGGATTTTGTTCAGTCCATTGGGTCAATCTCCAGAGTTTGTTTTGATCCTGATCCAGCTCTTCAAAGCTCTCAAACCCATTCCCAGCTCAGTCTGCAAATTCAATAAGCACATTCTCGATTCCATTATCCAAGCCAAAACAAGGAACTTACTTGATAAATTCTTTCAGCTGAACAGTGAGCTACTGTCAAATTCTCTGGCAATAGTTTTYCAGGCAGTTTCRTATTTATTTCTTAATATCTGAGGAACCAGTTCCTTCTTGCATTGTACATTGTAGGTCTCTTGCAGGAAGGGCTTGCAAGAGCCTCAAGAAATCCTTATTTCAAGCTTTCAACATAGAAAAGTAACATGAAAATAGCACAATCTCAAAAACATGAGCAATACTTGAAGGGGTAAGAGGGATGYAGTAACAGGATGGAAGAGGTTTGAGCAGCCCTAGAAGGGTCACATATCCCTGACTGCTGGCATGCAGCAGGAAATGCCTGCACAAAACTAGAATTAACTGCTAGCTCTTCTTTTACTTTGACAGACATCAAGGAGCCCCAAAGGGTGTTGCAGTAAAGTAAAATTTGAGAAACTGGGCYGGAGCATATTTCTCAAGCTGACTTCTCACCTGAGGGGGAATCAGATTAGCTGGACACACCAAATCCTCTACTTGTGTTCTTCTAGGTGTTACAAACAACATATTTGTTCCAGTAGTCTCCTAGGAAATAAAGTTGGGTTGGCTGGGTTGCACTCCCCTGATTTTTTTTCTTCCTTTCACTCCCTAAACTTTTGCTGAAGCAGCAGTTTGTTCTGAGGCAGGAACAGGGAGGGCTCACTTTCCTCTGTCACGTATCCAGGTGTTCCTCTCAGAGCTCCTCTGCTGCAGCCTTTGCCAGGCAGAAGGAAAATACCCCAATTGTAGAGATCTGGGCAACACTGTTTAGTAACTGTTAGATGAACATAGTCACTATAAATTTCCTTATTATGAGACTCTGTGGAAATATTAGTGCTGCATTTCAAAATYAGCAGATCGACCCTTAGACATGAAAGCTGCACTTAACTACACTGTAACCCAAACCCAGCATTTCACAGCCTTTGCAGCTGGTGGGAACATTCAGACACCAGGATGAACAGGTACTTTGTATATATCCCTGAAAACTCCAGCTTTGCTCAGAGCAGGCTCAGTGATGTGCTAGGCTCCTGCCAAAGCCTTCTCACACCTTGCAACAAACTACACCAGGAGTCTCCCAGCAAAGTCAGACCCAYAATTTGGGGCGACTCAAGGCTCCGTGGGGCATCCTTACAAAGCCTGGGCTCCACAACTCACCGATGGATCAATCAGCAGTGCAGTTTCTTAGAAGGAGATCGATGCTGCTCAGGAGTGGCAGGACAGCAGTGCCAGCCGAATGCTGAGGCGTGCCTGGGAAGCAGCTTCCCAAATAAGGATACAAAGTTCCACGTTCCCAAAGCACAGCTGGCTGCTCCTTGAGCACCAGAGGAACTCGAGTCTCTCACAGGAAAGCAAAAAGAAAGAACAAGCCTCCTCAGAAGTACCCACATGCCAAGGGGAGGCCCAGGACTAAAGGCTAGGGGCACAGGCTGAATAAAGAAAATAAAGAAAACCGTCCCACAAAGTCAAGTTTTTCAAATAACTACCACATGACAATTCAAGACTGCAAGCCAAAAGCCTGCCTTTAATAATATTTGGTTTATTTAAATTAAATAAACTAAAATTTATTTAATATTATTTTGGCTTATTAGTAATTATTATTGGTTTCTCCTTCCTTCCCCTCTCTCCCCAAATCCAACTTAGTATCACACAAATTTATGCCAGCCCATGAGGTCCTCCCTGCTTTTCCCTGGAGGAACATGGCTCAGGTTCCTGGAATTACAACAGCTTGTAGCTACACCCTCTCACTAATGCCCTGGCAGCCGCTCTGCAAATGGGTGCAGAGGAGCTACAGGACCCTGTAGAGTTTCCACCACCTCTTGGCTGCCCCTGAAGCTCTCAGTTGGTGCCCTCAGGAGACAAAAAAACATTTGCAGACTATGTTGGGCAGCAGCTGAGGAAAACCAGTCTGGTGGTGGCTCCAAACCCCATCCCARCTGGCAGAACCCAGGGTGATCTCTGCTCCCTTCCCAAAACGCAGCTGAACTTCRAGGAGTGTCCTGGGCTTGCTGCTCCCTGCTGTGGAAAAGCACCACGCCTGGAACTGCAAGCAGATGCCACAAATTCCTGCTGGCTCATCCCRAAAGCTGCATTTTGTAAACTCCAGAGCTGAACAGAACAGCTGAACCCAGGCTTTGAGACTAAAGGACACACCTGGAGCACAGCTTCCGAATCTTCCTGTGAATGTGGAATTCACCAAGCAGTGCCAATTTTGACACGGATCTCTTGGGAGGGAAGCACAGCATCAGCTCTGGATCCCACTGGGAACTGCAGACCAGGAAAACTGCAAGGAGTACTGCTGCTCCAGGGAGCTGCTGTGTGCAGTTTGTAACTCCTTAGAAGCCACCACCAGAGTGGGCACATTTGTTTCCAGAAGTGCAGCCTGCTCCTGGCATCTGCTCAGGAATTCCGGTAACAGGTCTGTCATCTGAGGGAGTTGAACTGATAACAGATCAGCCACAGCTTGCTGGAGGCTTTGGCTCCAAAACCACAACATAGTTGCAAGCGTGGCAGAGCAGTGACTAAGGCACATGCTTGATGTTCAAACGCATTTTCTACCCGGTACTCATTACCTGCAGTTGGTCCCAGCCCTCACATCATCTAACAATAATTAATGAATAACAATCCAGTCCGCACAAAGCCCGGTTCATGCCTAAGTGCAGCCTGGAACTTGGGCAGCGTTGAAGCAGCTACAGGTTGGATCAGACACGGGGGATTTCACTGCTGGTTTGTTTAAACCCAACCTCAGTCATCAGCTCAGCTGTCACGGGCATGGGCATCACCTGCACCCAGTGCCAGCCCTGCTGAGAGTCCAGGTGATGTGCTGGTGAGGAAACAGCAGCAGGATGCGATGGATGAAGAYGGGCACTGCAGGAACAAGCCTGCARCGCTCTGCCCCAGGGGGATRCTCACACCCAGCTCCCCTTYCCCGGCGAATCCAACGTGTCCCCGGGAAYAGGACGGCTTCCTGGCAATCCCAGCCAGAGCCTGCTGGCGGGGACCCAGAGCTGTGCCTGACATCACCTGAAATCAGCACCGGACCTCGCCCAAGGCTGTGCGCTGCAGGGACCTCACCCCGGAGCCTCAGCTCCATGACAGCATCTCCCCTGTCTCTGTCTATTCCCAGCTCCATGACAGCATCTCCCCTCTCTCTGTCTATTCCCAGCTCACTCGGGGCCCCTTTATGGCAGGGACCCCTAGAAACCCTCAGAGTGCCCTCACAGCCAGGACCACCCAATTCCCCCCTCCCAGGAGGCTCCATCACAGCTCCCCCCACAAACTCCCACAGGTTTCCTCATTGATGGTGTCCCCCTGATAGGGACCCCTCAAGCCCCTGAGGGTCCCCTCACAGCCAGGATTTGCCCCTACCATGGGGCTCAATCACACAGACACCTCCACAGTTCCCTCAGGACCTGCAGTGACAGAGACCCCTCAAATCTCTGAGAGCCCACTCACAGCCAGGACCCCCAAACTCCCCCTCCTAGCACACCCCACCAGAGACTCCCCCAAATCCCTCAAGGTCCCCCCATAATAGGAACCCCTCAAACCCCTGACAGCCCCCTCACAGCCAAGACCCCCACTCCCTCAGGGTTTCCCCCGTGTCATCCCTCAGCCCCCGCGTCCCAGCCGTACCTGACACCACCAGCGCCTCGTTGGGCCCCACCGTGTGGCAGTTCCCCATGGCGGCCCCGCCGCCGCCCGCCCCCACAACCCCCCGCGCCTCGTACGGCGGGGGCGCGGCCCACGGGCGCCGCCATCTTGGGGAGGTCGGTGCTGCCACACCCCGGGGGCGGGGCCGGGCCGTGGGCGCCGCCATGTTGGGCGCCGCGTGCGCGGGTAACATGGGGGCGTGCGCATGCGCGGTGTGCAAGGGAGAGACGCGGGTGTGCAAGGGAGTGTGTGTGACACTGCACGGGTGTGCAAGGGGCTGTGTGTGACACTGCACGGGTGTGCAAGGGAGTCTGTCTGACACTGCATGGGTGTGCAAGGGGCTGTGTGTGACACTGCACGGGTGTGCAAGGGGCTGTGTGTGTGACACTGCACGGGTGTGCAAGGGACCATGTGTGACACTGCACGGGTATATGTGACACTGCACAGGTGTGCAAGGGAGTGTGTGTGACACTGCACGGGTGTGCAAGGGACCGCGTGTGACACTGCACGGGTGTGCAAGGGACTGTGTGTGTGTGACACTGCACGGGTGTGCAAGGGACTGTGTGTGTGACACTGCCCGGGTGTGCAAGGGACTGTGTGTGTGACACTGCACGGGTGTGCAAGGGACCGTGTGTGACACTGCACGGGTGTGCAAGGGAC